GTTCTTTTCATGGCGATGGCCAAGTTTTAAGAAAGCAAACAGAAAGCAAAAAGAGAGCCCTCTTTAGACCTAGGCTCAGAGTGGCCCCGTCACCTCCCCCTCCTTCTGCTAGCCAAAGCAAGACATGCGAATCCTAGTCGAAGGTGAGGAAATTCATCACTGAACTTCCACTGGGGCCAGAATTGGATACAGGGAGGGCTTAAAAGAATTGGAGCTCTGGGCCTCCCCTGGTGGCTCAGCGGTTGAGCGCTGGGCTGCGAAGCTGCCCGCAGCCTCTCCAGTGCCGGTTCAATCACCGGCCGCTGGCGAGGGTTTCACATGGTGTGCACACCTCTCCTGCCTCGTCCACTGCTCCCCTCAGCAGTGTGCCTCGTCAGTCTGCCTATTCTGTTCCCTGCTCTGGCTCTGTGAATTCTCTCACCCTCCTGTGCTTCTGACTGTACCCAGTGCTTGTATAAATAAATAAATAAATCTTAAAAAAAAAAAAAAAAAAGAATTGGAGCTCAAAGTCAGTCTCCTATGATTTAATAGGTATGTTTTCATTCACCAATCATTGTATAAGCTGGTGTTAAATACCAGACACCATGCTAGGCAGCAGGAGGGATTGCCATGTAATATTCCTATAGCAATCACTGGTTAAAAGTCTGAGAAAAAGTGTTTTTGCTCTTGTTACCTTTTATATGGTCTGTAAAGTGGTGTTCCCTGAAGTCTCTCCTCCTTGGTCTCTTCCTTGGTCCTGGATGCAATCCATTCTCCAATGTTGCCAGAGTAATCATCCCAAGATATAAATGAGATCTGGAACCTTCCATGTTTAAGCAGTTTGAATGCATTCCTTTCTCCAGTAGGATAAAGCTCAACTTCCAGAGGTTGATATTTAAACTGATTCCAGTCTGGACCCTCAGATTGCCCAGCCTGGTCTTCTGCCAACTCTACACCAGGGGTTCCTCTTCCCTATTTCCCTTCCATCTGGCTCAGTGCTTCTCTGCTTGGCATCACAGACAGGTAGGAGGTGGTGGGTGTGGACCCCATGGTATAACTGTAAGAACCTACCAAATGTGCACTAAGCACTATCTGTCAACTACAAATACTTCCTCCCCCCAGATGCACACATTCATAGGCACCATGGTTTACAACGTGCTTAGATAGGATTGTGGGGAATAAACTTCAAAACCTGTTAGAAGGAGAAATTGAGTTGTCAGCTGTCTTTTGATATTATTTAGTTTCTTATTAATAGATACAAGTCTTTCCATGATGGTTTTTGACATACACTGGAAGCCAACACTATGGACCCTTTGCCTCTTTTAAACTCATCCAGATCACCATAGCTCTGGCTACTTTGACTCTCTCAGCACCTCCTGAGGCATATTGTAGTAGAATGATGTCTTCTCTCCATGAGTCGTATTTTGTGAAGAACACAAACCATGGCTTACTATTTCTCTCCCTGTTGCTTAGCTCAATGGCTAGAATGCAGTAGATACTTTATGAATGTTTCTTGAATGAATGAATATATATAAGAGAGGACTGGAGAATTCTCTGGAGTAGTGGTTCTCAAACTATGCATATAAGAGCTTGTGATACACAGATTTCAAGAGTTCCTGAATCAGTAGGTCTAGGGTGAGACTTGAGAATTTTCATTTCTGATAAGTTCCCAGGTGAGGCTGATGTTGCTGGTCCAGAGGCCACACTTGAAAGCTAGCGCTCTACCAAATTGATGTTGAGATGGTACTCTACGTAGAAGTAACCCCTGTCACTAATTTTGTAAGGGAGACATCTACAGGGGGTTTAACTGCTTCTAGTTCACAGGATGAAATTAGTGTCTGAAGGTCCAATTTTGCCACTAAGTGGGGACTGAAGTCCTAAAGACAGTTAGGTCAATTGAACTGAAATGACCTAAAAGTCACTTCCTATTTTATCTCTGAAACAAACAGAAAGCAAATGTGGAAAACATGATTAAATTTTCAGAGGACACTATATTAATGCAAATAGAGTATTTTCCTCTACAGCCAGAGGAATATTTTCTCTTATTCTTAGATATTGGGACTGTCTGTATACTGAGAAAATCCAGGAGGATGCATACTCACAAAGCTTCTGTGCAATGTCCCTTACTATGTCTAATCCTGGTCTAGACTCTGGTAAGATGATATCACTTTGCTATAGGTTGAATTCAATACTTCATAGGAGTAGAGAGCTGTTAAGGGTACAGGATGCTTTCCAGGTGGGACAGTTGAACTGTCACCTTCTAGATGTATTGGGAGAGGGCAGTATGTGTAGGGGGGTGCTCACAGCAGCAGCTCACATTTTTCAGTACAAAAACCATTTAATTCATCCTCTCAATAAAAATCACTTGTATGCCTACTATATATGTAATATGCTAGAAGCTGAGCAGATGGCAGGAAAAAGACAGACATGGGACAATAGACAGATAACATGTGAACAACTGTTGTTATTGATAAGCTACTCCTTCTTAACAACCCACCTCCAAATTAGGGCAATTATTTATTTTTAGCTCACCTGGGTTAACTGATTTTGGCAGTACTCTGCTGGGCTTGCTCAAGCATTTCTGGGTCCATGGGCTGCTTGTCTCTCCAAGTAGAACCAGTGATCTAGCCCACAAATAGAGGCCTTATGAGAGCAAGCTGAACCACACAGGGCCTCTTGGGGCTTGACCTTATAACTGGGACCCTGTCCTTTCCACCTCATTCCACTAACTACACCAAGTTTATGTGACCAAGTGACAAGTCAAGGAGTGGAGGTGGAGATGCAGATTGCAGGGAAGAATTGAGACCACAATAAAGTGACTATGTATACTAAATGGTCAAGTAACTTAAAATGGTATGAAGAAACATAAGGCAGGTTCAGGGGCTCAAGAACAAACAGGGATCTGCTTTGCAGTGTCTGGGTGAGGGGCATTATATTCTTGTAATCTTGGGTGTTTTGGCAGAATGTGCCATTGGAAAATGTGTCACTTGTGGAGCTCTGCAGTATGGACTTCCCTCCCTGCTGTCCAGTATATCCCAGTTATCAAGGGCTTCTGGCATATCTGATATTTCTTTCTCTAAGGGCATCTATCTGTTGTATCACTGTTCTATTCAAATGCTTCATCATAGCAGCCTTAGAACTGCCATAACATTGCATCACAGATTGGACAAGTGCAACCTTACATATGCCTGACCCTCAGAGTACTTTCCCAACCTAGTAGCTGCTTATGGAAATAAAGCTACACATCAACTTCCTGTTGTCTTTGCCACTCACCATGGTTCATGGTCTCCAGAGCTGCCCTCTACCTCCCTTGCTCTCTGACTTGGTGTCAAATGAGTCCATGGGCTCAGTAGATCTTGCTCTTGACTGACAGGAAGACTTCTGCCCTGAAATTAGGATATTTCAGGATATCTTAACTTGAAGTTTGTCTGATTCCAAACTACCCTGTTTTACTCCTATTAGTGGGCAATATGGGTATGGGCCCCACGCTCGTGGCTTCCAAGCTAGGACAATCACATCATCTGTCAAATACTGTGACTGCACATGTCAGAGGTTCACAGGTGCATACCTGCTTAGGCAAGAGAACAGTGGAAGGCTGAAAAGACTGGAAGATGCAGAAATATCTACCTTTCCTGAGCTCTTTGGCCAACATTGCCATCTGTTGGGCCAGCACTGGCTAAAGCAGCCAAGCAGTCAGATGGCATTACATCTTCATCAGTGACCTTGGGACTGAACAGCTGACAGTGAAAGAATTTTTAGAAGTGCATCAGTTTATATTTCTTTAGTTGGTATTTTGTCACTTATTTCTTACCATAACCTTATGAGTTCAGAACAAGTTGTATTTCCATTTAACCACTGGACGACAGAAGTACAGAGTCTGAGTAACTTACTAGTCAGTGGCAGAGCTGGGAGATAAGTTTTGGCAATGTGGTTCCAGACTCTTTGTCCCACCCCACCCAGCCATCTATTTAAGACCCACTATGACTATTTAATGTTCCAGGCCCTGTGCCAGATGCTGGGAATACAGCCCAGGCCACTGGACTGCTGCATGGTCCATTGCTCTGTGTCCTGCTGTATTAGATGTCACTTAATACATTTATTCCAGTATTTAAAGCCAGGGAAATTATGTCAGAAAATATTCATATATATGTTTGTATAGTAAGACCAGTGTAATTGACATATTTCTCTTATTGCTTCAGTCACTAGGAAGCTCAAATCCCAAACAGAGCTAAATGCATTCTATTTTGGGTTTAATGTTTCAGCCTCCAGCCCAGATTCTCTATCTTGGTTGCATACACTCTATGGTACAAATGTCCTTTATTATAAAACACCTTATATCCTTTTAGAAGAAGGTACCATTGAAATGACAAAGTAAGGACTTCACTACATATTCCTGGGTTCCTCTTGGGAAATTCAGACCTAGTTGTCACGCTCCCCTTCACCCCACAAAACTCTTTGAGCAGTGGGTACAACTATTCTGAGTCCCTGGGAATAGCTAGATCACATCCATATAGGCAAAAGAAAAGTTTCCCCAAATCATGGCCCAAACTTCCGTGCCAGATGCACATTTGTGGAGTAGGCAGCCAGTCAGACTCTCACCTGAGCAGTTAATAAAATCTATTGCCCCTTCATGGATTTTTTTCTGCAAGCTAGAATTGATCTGTCCTCTTTGTGATTTGCGAGATGGCAAGGAAACACTAAACACCATCAGGATTTGGGCCACATTGGAAAAAAGAAAGATAAAGAAAAAAAAAATCTACCGCCAAGTCTTTCCAGGCGTAGAAAAGGGCTGGAACTGCTGGGGTCATTTTATTTGATTTATTGGAAATAAAGTGGATCTTATTAACATTTTAATAAAGAGAATCTTTTTGCACGGGACTGAAAGTGGTCGCCAGTCCCTGGTGCAATTTCATTCTCCGGAAAAGTGTAATCAGCTGCCGTTGCCCAGTATGATTTGTGAGTCTGGGCCCTACCAGTCAAAAAAATCAAGTGGGCTGCCTCCTCCAAGGGGCTCGCTTTGCGCGAGGTACTCGCCCCATATCTGCCATGCAGAACGAGAGAGCTTTATGAAGGAATCCGTCTTGTAAAGCCATTGGTCCTGGTCATCAGCCTCTACCCAATGCTTTCGTGATGCTGCCGCTGATCTATTTGGGAAGTTGGCTGGCTGGCGAGGCAGAGCCTCTCCTCAAAGCCTGGCTCCCACGGAAAATATGCTCAGTGCAGCCGCGTGCATGAATGAAAACGCCGCCGGGCGCTTCTAGTCGGGCAAAATGCAGCCGAGAACTCCGCTCCTCCTGTGCGTTCTCCTGTCCCAGGTAGGGAAGCTGGGGCTGCCAGGCGCACCCTGCACCCCATTTCTGCATTCCGATCTTGTGGCGCTGCCAAGCAAGGGGGCTTTCGGGGGTCGGGCGACTCCGGGCGCGGCAGCAGAGAGCCCGGGCGCGGAAGGGAGGTCATTCCCAGCCCTGAAGATCCTGAGGGGTCGAGGGCTCTGCTTTCCCTCTCTGGCATGCCTCTGTGGGGGTGTGTGTGTGTGTGTGTGTGTGGTGTGTGTGTGTGTGTGTGTGTGTGTGTGTGTGTGTGTGTGTACACACGCTCTGGGGAGGAGGAGAGCGAGCGAGCCTGCACCGGAGTCCTTTTTTTTTTTTTTTTTTTTTTTTTTTTTTTGTGCAAGCGGCGGAGACATTCTCGCCTACATCAAGTGGGGTAACTTTGATTCGCATTCTCCGGAGGTTCATACATTGGAGAAAGAAAGACAGTTGGGGCGACTCCAGTGAGTCGCGGTTCCCCCCAGCCCAGCGTCCAGAGGGAAAGACAACTCGGGTCCGGATTACTGGCTGCGGGGCTGGAGAGGCCGGCCTGGCATCGCCGAGTTCCCGGGCGCTCGGGCTCCCTCTCCTAGACCCGCGGAGCGCTGGAGGCGCCTCGGCCCGGCAGAGCGCCGCAGCCCAGCAGCTGCTGTAGCTCAAAGGCACCGGCGTCCGCCGCGCTCGCGTCGGGGTCCTTTTCTCCTGCTACCCTGGGCCCGGAAGGGCTAGAGCGCGTCCCCTGCTCGCGAGCAGGCCCCAGCCCCAAGCCCCCTTTGTCCAGGCAGCTGGAGCTCCAGCCCGGAGCCCTGACTGCCGCCTCTTCTGCTTTCCCCCGGCGGGCTTGGAGCGCAGAGAAAAGTTCAAGCCTTGCCCACCCCGGGTGCAGCTGCTTATTAACCCTCCGCGCGCTGTGGCAAGAAGGAATGGCCTGGCTATCAGGGAGAGGGGACCGGATGGAGGCGTGATCCTTCAGCAAACACCTCTGCATCGCAAGACCTCAGGAAGTTTGTGTGCAGGGAAGCGGTACTCCAAGGAGACCAACCCAGAGATGCTGGCCGCTGAGGGGCACACCCAGACTTGCTCAGGGGCCTGTTGTTTCTGAGAGCACTTAGACCCAGTACCCCTAGGCCTCCCTGGCAGCCTCTGGGACTCAGGATGAGCTGGCAGTCTACAAGTGGGAGGGTGAGATCAAGGCAGGGCCAGGCAGAGAGGAGGAAAGGAGACAGGGAGAGCCCCGGAGCGGATGAGTGCTAGGGAAGAGACACTTGTGTGAGCTTGTGGATGAGGGAGGGTGAGGACACCAGGGTTCCAGGCAGGGCCAGACTGGAATGTACATATCCAGTGCATCCTGCCTAAGGGAGACCACTTTTGGGTCCGTGTTAGGGTTAGACTTTGGAAATGGGCTGGTGTCCTAGGGATGCAGTGACCATGGGGATGACTCAGAGTGTGGGGTGGAGATGGACTGTAGTGCCAGGGGGCAGAGAAAGGTGCCAGGCTGCCAAGCTTCCTCTTTTGTTCCTGACTTCCTTCGCCCCTGGATATGTCATCCTTATTCAGGCCTGCCCTGTTATAACTCTTCTACCAGGACTCTGCTACCTGATCTTCTTGGGGTCCCTATAGCCTTCAGTCCAGCTACAAGTACTGTGCCTGTCTGTGAATCAGTTTTCCAGACTCTCTGGACTCTATTCCTGAGACTATGACTCTCTCTGTGTGTGTGTGTGTGTGTGTGTGTGTGTATCTCAATTTAGCAAGGTGGTTCAGAGCATTCAGACAAACCCTCTGCCATATGCTAGTGGGCAAGTTGTTCAACCTCTCCCAGCTTCCATGCTCTTCACTGTAAAATAATCTTATCACCTTCCTAGGATTGCTGGCCAGATCAGATTGCATTCAGCAGATGCCCTAGGTAATGCTGTTACCATGAGGCCTGGAACATTGGAGCTATCAGTATTGGGAGCACTTACTGCAGCCTCATCCAGGACTCTTCAGTCCTTTTCTCTCTTGGCATTATTTAACCTTCATTGGGATTTTAGGGCTTGCCCAATTATACCTTCCTTAGAGCAAGAGAGACCACAAAGCAATACCCTACAATCCATGTGCACTAGGAACTTCTCACATGCTGCCTTCGCGAAGCAACTAGTGTCTCTCCTCACCCCGTGCCCAGCTGGCACAAGTGCTTTCTGAAGGTTTTCTTTAAAATAGGAAAGTAGAGGTTTTCCTGTGATTGGATTGCCTGCCCTGAGAGGCTTATTTCTCTCTTAGATTGTGATACATAATCAAAGCAAATGTCCACAGTTAGAACAGACATCCTGGTAGCAATAGCACCTTGTGGAGAAATCATTTTAGTATAGCTCAGTTAACCAGCACAAGGTTCAAGTGCACACTCTGTGTGCCATAGAGAAAGTAGGGAAAGTCTTGGAGCCATTTAGTCAACCAGCAAAACAAAACTTTCCTGAGGCAGAGAGAAATCAGAAGGGAAAAACAATGTAATAAAGCAAATTAGTCACTGAGCCCTAGTGGTGCTCAGGCAAGATGGGTGTGTTTTTCCACCATAGTTGTAATACTCTGAGTCCAGCTTTGGAAGTCATCAATCTCTGTAAGTTTATTGGCTAGCTTGCTGTTTTAGGTACTTTGGAAGGGGGAAGAGGAATTATAAGCAACAATGGCTGGAAGCTGGCAAAGTTGAGACACAGTCACCTCTCTTCTCCCCTGGGGCATTTTGGGAAAATCCATCCCAGAAGTGGCCTCTGGAATTTGGCTATGATAAATAGTAAGTGTGAAACAAATAGAGAAATGCATGAGCAAGAAATTCCACTGTAAATATGATTCCCCCACCCCCATTTGGGTATTGCTTACAACTAGCCAAAAGATCTAACAATGAATGAGTAATCCCCCAAGAATTAAGATTTTAGGGAGTGGTTCAGGTTTGGAGAGTCAGTCACTTGGGAGTGACTGAAAATGTTCTCCAGAATTCTGAGATTTTGATTTAAAATGGAGAGTTCTCTCTTGGAGGCAGAATCTTGGCTTTTTAATGAGAATCAGTATATTCTTGTGCTCCTGCAACTTCAGATATTATATTTTAGGGACTGTGTTTATTTGCAGAAACTTGATGGGTAGAAATAGGTGAGGAGAATTGCAGAGGGCAACTTGCCCTCCAGCCCCCCACTCTACCCACCATAGACTTAGCATGTGACAGTCTATATGATTTCAAAAGCATGAGAAAGAGTTGTAACTGAAGGAAAGAATCAAAGTGGTAGAGTTCATGTGTCAGAACAATTTTTTAGCAAGTCCCAAAAAAAGATTTAATAAGCTGCAAAGCTGAATATGTGATCTGGAATTTATGTAACGCCACAGTCTATATTAAAAGTCCCAACAATCTTCTTAGCTAATCTCTCCTGCCTTGCCCCCCTCCCTTCTCCCCCTTTCTATCTTTAGCCCTTGGGCTCTCCATTAAGTAAAATCTATTTCCTCTAGAAGTACCCTCTGTGTGTTAGAGTGAAATGGTCCAACAAAACCATTGTATTCAATAACTGCATTATCTGAAATTTGGACTTTGGATATTTGGACTTTAGGGGAAGCATGTTCACCTAAAGGGGAGTGATGCTTAGGTAAAAGTATAGCTAGATTCTCAAGAATATCCTTTCTTTCCCACCTTCCAGAAAATCCAGTTGCTTGAGGAGCCCAGTTATTTTCTATTTAGTGGAAATTAAGGAAAAACACAAACTAGGATTCCATTCACATCTGAACAATAGTTGCATCATCTAAATAGCCAATAGTATTTCTCTGTGTGACCACCTCTGTGTTTTCATCTTGTTTTAATACCTGTTGAAAAATTTCTCCAGAAGAGGGCTCCATTCACAGCATTACAAATTTCTGAAACTACAGCTTATATTTTAAAGAACTCCAGTTTCATAGCAGCTCCATCAAAACCAAACTGAAGTATTCTCCTTATTTCTAATTATTTGCTACAAGCTCCTCCAAATTGAAAAGTCCTGTCACTTTGCACTGCCATCTTTCCTTCTTTCTTCCTTTTCCCCCTATTATAGCTGCTTCTGTTCTATTTTATTCTTCAACTCTGTATCCCCTTTGAGTATTTGAACAGGGAACATTTCAAAAACCTTTGTAGACAATGCAATATGGAGTGCAAGGAAGTTCTGAAATTTCCTGGCATTTGACTTCTGTTGGACCTGGGTTTACTTTTTAAGCAGCCAAGAGGCAGGCACAGTTCTGCCTGTGAATGGAGATAATCTTCCTCATTAGGTAACTACTCATAAGAGGGAACCATGAGCCAGATCCACTCACCCTGCAACACCAGTTGAGAAGGAGAGAGACATATCAGTCTGTCATTCAATTACAATAATCAGCTGGGCAGAATCAAATCAAGTGACCAGTGGCTTTGGCGTTGTTTCTACTTAGCTGTCGGCAAGGTGCCCACACGCCTGGGAGTATCTGACTTGCTTGAAGGATGCTGCCAAAACAATTCCCTACAGCCTGTCTCTTCTGCGGCCACCTGGGGACTGCAAGCCTGGTTCCCCCTGCTTCAGCAGATTGCACCAACAATGGCAAGTTAGGGTAGGGTCCCCTGCACCTTCATCATGCACTCAGTAGTGGCTTTATTCCATTGTGAGGGTGAAAAGTGAATCTTTCTCTACTTGGAAAAGCAGCCAAGAATAGGCTAGAGAGGAGAAAAAATGTCATTTCCAAGTTAAAGTGCAGACTGAGCCAGGGCTCATGGGGGTGAATGGTTCAGCTTTTGGTTTAGCACATTGAACCTCAAGATATTGTGCTCTGTGATGCTGAAATCCATCCATCCCAACTCTGCAACTCTGGCATCTAGAAGTTACAAAGTGGCAGCCACAGGCCAAATAGATGTATTCATCTCCTTTTGAGATTTGTACCCTATAGATGTAGCTTGTTTGACTCAAATATTTGAAAAGTGGAAAATTGCAATCTTAAAAATCCAGGTTCCTTACATTGATTAAAGAGTCAGAAGATCAGAGAACCCCAGA